AGTTTTTTCGCTTTGGAATTTTTGGGCAGGGGTTTGTCCCCTTCCTTTGTTTTTCGACCATTTCGTGCGGCGACTCTCGGGTGACTCTTTGCTACTCGAATTCTCGTTGGTGACCTTTCTGATTGATCGGAGTTTGACCTTTCTTCTTCTGACTTTGACTTTTCCAATTCGTCGATTTCTTCGAGGCTCAATAGTGGTTCCTTAATCTCTTCGATTGGTTCACTTTCGCCGTTCTCGGGTGACCTTTCGTCAGCTTTTGCCTCAGGTACTGGGTTTTGCTGCTCATTTGATATTCGTTCAACTTCTTCTTTAAACCTCTTCCACATTTCGGTTCTGTCCGTTAACATCTGTGCAATGTCGAAGGCCGACTTTGAACTTTCTCCCGTTTCGTTTGATCCTCCTTCAACTATCTCTTCAACTGTTACTTTTTTCTCTGTTTCTTTTACCGTCTCTTTATCAGTTTCGTCCTGTTGGACCTTCTCATAACCTTTAGGTCGTTTGGGACCGACGAAAATGCAGTTTGCCATCAGTTCTTCGGTGACCCACTCATCATCGTGAATCGTTTCATACATGCACCACGTATCACCACCTCGTTCTGGGTAGTCCACTCCATCTGGATCTGGTGCAAAGGTCACCTTTTTCTTTTGCGTTATTCCCGGTAACCTTCTTTTCCGGGTTGCTTGTAATTCTCGCATCTCTTTTAAGTCAAATCTGGGGATCTCTTCTTCAAATTTATTCCAATATTTTTGGAATACTTCTTCGTTCCCCTCTTTTAACGCGTTGTAATATACTTCGAGTGATTCGTAGACAGGGGTACCAAGTCCTGCCGGAAAGATGATCGTTCTCCCTTCACCTTTGTACATGTGGTTCACACGGAAGTCCCAGAAGAGGTCAACTCTCGCTTCTTCCCACATCTCTCCTTCCTCGTTCATCTCTTCTATCTCTCTTTCGAATCTCCTTTCGGTTGCTACCGGATCAAGAGGATCCTGGATTCCTTTCTCGACACGTTGTAACCAGTGATTTGGCCATCTTTCTCTCCCGATAATGAAGCTCTTCACGCATGACAACCAAGTCCGGTATCTGTTACAGTGATACCGCTCAATGTGTGGCTTCCACATTTCGTTTGTCCGCATGATCCTTTTTACTTCCTTTTGGGCATGACCTTTAAGGTCTGCTATTGCGGCATTACATTTCGGCCATTGTAAAAGGTCATCTTGGGAGGCGTTTTCGCAACATTCTGCACATTCCCATTGTGGTTGTATTCTGCACGGGTCCTCAAAGTAGCCGTGATGACAACTCCTGGCTCGTTCGTCTGAAGTTAATGTCCGTTGACTCGCTTGCGGTTTAACCTTTTCCTGTGCTGTGGTATCTTCCTCACATTCGATTGGAGTCACGCTTTTGTCCTCAGAGGATATTTCGATGACCTCTGGTTCTTTTTGTGTTCGGTGACTATTCAACTGTTCGAGCGCCTTGTTACGAATTTCACTTGTTAACATCTGTTCCTCTTCGGCTATTCGTTTCAATACCCGTAACCTTTGACTCTTTTTATCCTTCCATACTTTAGCCGTCTTTATTCCCAGTGCCTCTGGTACTGAGATAGGCCTTGCCCACTCCATGCCACGCACGAGCGATTGTTTCGCTGCGGCTGCCGCTTCTTTCTGTGTGGCAATTATCTCTTCAAGCGTTGGTGACCTTTCGTCATTGATAGCAGAGTGTGGTTCGAAAAAGGGTTCCTTTTGAGGGTCACGTTCTGTTACTTTTTCTTTGGCTTTATCTGGTGAACTTTCATTTTGGGTAGCAGATCTTGGTTCGAAGAACTTCGGAGTACGCTCTGGTACTCTTATCGCAGGTGACCTTTCAAATTTCTTTCCCAGTGCCTCTGGTACTGAGATAACTTTTTCAACACATTCTTTTTCTGTGGCTCCTTGTTCACAGTCATCTGCGATCATACTTCTCCCGTCCGGGAGAAATATGATCGCCTCATCCATGTCTGGCACAAGCGGTTCCTTTTTCCTTTCGTTGACTTTTTTGACATTTACGCTTTCGCTTTTCTTCTCCGGTGCCTCTGGTACCGGGATTGTCCGTTGGCTGATCTCGTTCTGCTGCACTCTCGGCATTCCCGGTGCCTCTGGTACTGGGATGACCTTTTCTCTTCCCTTTTGTGTCAGCATTTTCAGGTTTAATGTATTTTCAATCTCCTGCTGGATCACTTTCAACTGTTCAAATGTTGACAATTCTTTTTGCGCCAGCTTTTTCTTTTCGTTTCCCGGTGCCTCTGGTACTGGGATTAGCGTTTTATTAACCGTTTGAGCATTTACCGTCTGTTTTACGAATTCGGTGACCTTTCCGACTTGAACTTTGGCGACTGGTTTGGGGTCATCTTCTTTTTCTTCTTCCCCTTCGTTATCCATTAGTACGAACTTCTTCTCTAAGAAGTCGAATCCCAATAACACTTGTACGTCGTCACACTTCGGTCGGACGTAGAAGGAATGTTCGCTAGTCTTTTTCCTTAAGGTCACTGGTGCTACACAGTAGTGCGTCACCATGAATCCTGACGTTCCACTAATTCCATTTATTCTCACCAGTCTATCTGGTGGTAGTGGGAGCATGTGAAGGCCATTCTTCTCGCAAAACGGTTTGCTGATCAGCGACGTCTCAGCGCCGGTGTCCAACATTGCGTTGACCTTTATGTCTCCCACTTTCACTTCGTGTGTGTAAGCTTCGATTCTTTTAGGCAATTTTCCGTTTTGAATCTTCAGTGTGTGAATCTTACATTTCACGGGGATGAGCGATACTGGTCCCGGATCCATATCGGGAAGCACTTGTCCTTTTGCTGGAGTGCTATGACCTTTCAGTATTTCGCTCAACTTATCAATCCTGTGTGGAACGTCAGTTCGAACATCGTAATATTTTCGCGGCTTTTCTTTATTTGTTTGCTTCTCTGTAGCCATTTTACCACTGATGACCTTTTCCACATTCTGCACTTGCTCATTTGCTTTTGTGCTATCCACATGACCTTTAGTCACTTCATTTATCGTCTGATGGATCAGTTCCTCTTTACGGTTTTCATTTCGTTTATCTCGCGGCTTCTCAATGACTTCGCTTGTTATTTGGTCGGCTCGCTTCAATTCATCTTCTTCACTATCTCTCATCTCATCTGGTGACCTTTCATATGTAACCATATCATATCCCTTTTCAGTCATCCATTCGATCACCTTTGCAGACACTTCATTGTTCGTTTTCGTCAGGTCGATTTGTGAAGACATTCCGTCTGTTCGGGCTGGTGACTTGTCATTGGCATCCTTTTGCAGTGCTTGTGATAAGTCCCGTGACCTTTCGACTGCGCTACTCTGTTGCGTTTGCGCCATCTCGTTTGACCTACCTCTTTGTTCGTTTTGCGCTAAGTCCTGTGACCTTTCGTTGCGCTTCATGACAAATCCGCCGTTTGTCAGCTTTTGTATGGGGACTTTTTCACCATAATTCGGCGGTTTATCCTGTGGCGGAGCATTACGTGAATAATTCCAGTCAGCGAATGTCTTCTTATATTCCTCTGCATTGAATGCTGGGACTGGGTTCGGTGACCCTTGGGCTGGTTTCCCGGTAACCAACTCTTCTAATCTTTTCCTCTCATGTTGCGTTCGCAATTCTTGCCTGTCCCAGTAATCTTCTTGTGACATTCCTGCTTTCTGCTTCGCTTTTGGCGTTACTGATATCCACATCCCGTGATTCCCGTTCGGTCTGTAGGCCACTTTTCGCCAGATTTCCTTCCGCTTCAACGTTACTGCATCCACAAGTGAGTCGTCGGAGTTTTGTTGTGCCGGTTCCCTATTCTTTTGCTGCGCTGTTCGCAGTGTCAAGTCTGTTTCTTGACCTTTTAACACGGTGCTTTCACCGTGACTTTTAGCGTACGCACTTGCTCCTTGACCTTTCACTTGAACTTTTCCAACAGAAGATGACCTTTCATCTTTACTGTTAGTGATATTCTGCTCTATCCATTTTTGCCTTATCAGCTTCTCTTCCTCGTCCTCGGAACAATTCCAGAACTTAGGCTTTATCTCGCCGTGACAGTCGCAACATGGCTCATTCGTTTTGTCGTTTTCTGCCAAATACTTTCGGAATTTCGCATGTTGCTCATTTTCCTCTTGCGCCGTAACGTTTTGCGGTTTCTTCTGATTCAGCAGAGCTTGTTGAATTTTCGCATTTCGTTGTGCGCGTCGTTGCGCTAGCACTTCTTCGCTGCAGTACGGTGACCTTTCATTTTGCTGCACTTTTTGCTGTGTCGCGCTACCGTCACGACAATTTCCACTCGCAGTACCATTCTGCGGTGACCTTTGGTCCCGTTGCGCGTTTCCACTCGTAGTACCGTTCTGCGGTGACCTTTTATCCACTTGAACGTTTCCACTCGCAGTGCCATTCTGCGGTGACCTTTGATTTTGTGACAGTATCCTTATAACCGTTCCATTTCCTTTTTGCGATGACGGCATCCATATAGCCGTTTCTCTTTGCTGTGGCGGCATCCATCTAGCCGTTTCCTCTTGCGCTGACGGCATCCGTATAGCCGTTGCAGTGGTCACATTCACTGCAGTACCATTCTGCAGTGGTGACCTTTCCGTTCCCTTTTTATCCGGTGGTTTAGGGTCGGGTCGATCAGTAGGCTCACCGGTGCCTACTGATCTTGCCCGTTTCCCTGAACCGGAACTCCACCTTGTTGCGCGCCCTGCACGTTCCCTTGTACATTTCCTTGCACGTTCCCTTGCGCTTGCTCGTTTACCGGGCCACCTCCGTTATTCTGGCCACCACCCTGTTGGTAGTTGCCTTGGCCGCCGCCATTGCCGCCACCTCTAAAGTTTCCGCGGCCAAAGCCTCTGCCTCTTCCTCTGAAGCCGCCGCGGCCGAAGCCACCACGGCCGTAGCCGCCATTCTGGCCAACGCCATTTCCATTTCCATAGTTGCCGTTTCCGTTCCCTTGTTGATTTTGGAAGTTTCCCTTAACCTGGTACCATTGCGCGATCAGATCATATCCATTTGCCACCGCTTGACGCCAGCCGCCCGTAGCGCGAAGGCGTTGCCACTCTCGGAAGGCAAACAGATTCGGATTCTGTTCCGGTGGTGTGTTTTAACGAACTTGCACCCCTGTGTCTGATGATTGCCATACATACAGTATTGGCACATCTGTACGCCGTTTGCAACCCATCCGTCAATCTTTTGGAACTTGAACTCAGTTCGTGACCCTTGGTTCTGCAGGTAGTTCTGGTTTCCTCTATTTGGCTGAATGTAGCCTTGACCTTGACCCTGATTCTGGAAGTTCCCTTGACCTCCATTCCAATTTCCATTTCCGTATCCGTTTCCACTGAAATTTCCGTTACCCACTCCTTGTTGTGGTAGCCCGACATTCGGAGGGGCCACGTTCTGTGGTACCGGTGGAGCCACATTCTGAGGTACCGGTCTCACCTGAGCCGCCGCTTGTATCGCCGCTACCATTGCGTATGTTATCGGTTGCCCCGTCTGACTGTCGATAAAGGTCACCTTTTCCGTGACCTCTCTGACCGGGGTTTCCACGCGGTATTCCACTGGCTGTTGGACTGGTGCAGCTGCCATCCTTTGTTGTGGTACATTTTCAACTTGGCCTTGGCGGATGGTCACGTATTCCTGGTTACGTTGAATTTCAGGCGCCTTATATTTTTCTTCGCCAGTAGCCCAATGTCTGAAGAAGTCCTTTACATCAGTTGGCGTTCTGCACTTTTGTGTACGCAATGCTTTGTAGAGTTCGTTATCCACTCTGCATCCTTCAATTAGGAAGCCGACTGCTTGATTCTGCATGATTCTTTTTGCCTTGAAGCGCATCATCGCCTGGTAATACTGGTCAAGCGATTCCTTTCCGAGTTCAAATTTCCTTGCGTAGGCCTCACGTAAGCCTAGGACTTCTTCATCTCGATCACCGTATTCGTCTTTGAATTTGTCCATCCACTCCGTTACTGAGTATTCAATTCCGTCTTCTGATGCAATATCCTTTTCTCCTTCAAACCAGGTTTTAGCGGGACCTTTCACCGCGCTGGCTATCTCGATCATGATTTGATCGTCGGTAAGCTGGTAGGTTTTCTGCGTTTCTTTTACCAATCTTGTCCAACCATTTACGGTGTCGCGGCTGCCATCAAAGGTCACGAGTGTGTTTTTCCGAGCCATCGAGTTGAGCGCTTTTGTCAGTTGTGCTGCTGTCGTTTCTGCTCTCGGATCATCCTCTTCTTCGCTACCGTCATCGTCATTTTGGTTTCGTTTCACCTTCTCATAACGGGATTTCCTTTGACGCTCCTGTCGGCTGGAGGGTCTGTCCCGTCGTCCATCGTCAACGAACACATTTGTTTCGATGTGCGGAGGAAATTGTGAGGGGTCACCTCGGCTCATATGCGGGTAACTTTCCGAAGGTGGCTCTTTGTCGTCTTTGACCTTTTCGCCATCTCTTTCATTTTTGACACTTCTTTTACCGGTGCCAGTTCGTAGCGGCATCTCGAAGTGAAAGCTTTTGCCCGTGCCCGTTTCATGCGCCTTGCTGTAACTGGGCGGCGGTGATTCCACTGTCGCTGCTCTGACTCCGTGTTGTAGGAGCTGTTCATCTTTATGCTTGTTGGACATTTGAAGGGCTTTATTCTCATCTTCGAGACGCTTAATCCTTAAATCGGATTGTTCTTTTTCGTTCTTCAAGTTCTGGTTCTCTTGGTTGAACCAGAACTTGAAGTGTGCTGACATGTGCTGATGTGTGCTGATGTAATTGAAGCGTTTTGTCTTGGATGACTTTTTCGGTATCATTTTCCACTTTCCTGATGTGTTCCGCTGACTGGGTCACATCTCTTTCCAATTTCATATATTCCTCAGCTGCTGCTTTCAACTGGTCTTTTGTTTGGGTGACATCATCTTCCTTCGTCATTACCGTTTGGGTCATATCGATCAGCTCCGTGTTGAGTCTGATGATCTCCTGTGTCTTCTGATGTACCGTCTGTTGCCATTCTTTATCTTTCAGTTCAAGTGCGGTGACCTTTATGTCAAGGAGATATGCCTCGTGTTCCCATCTCAGCCCTTGTTCCGAAATCGTCTTGGCAGCCTCCTTTAGTTCCTTAATCTCATCGGTGACCTTTTTGTTATCCTCTTTCAACACCTTATTCTCCTCCATCACCTGCTTGATTTCGGTACTCAACCGTACACCTTCAGTGGCTGTGAGCTCCCTCAGGTCCTTAGCCACTTTGACAGCGTCATCGGCTCTCCTCTGATGATCCTGTGATTCTTTTTGAAGGGTTCCGATGTTCTCGTCTCGTAACTTCAATTCGTTTCTCAACTTAAACACCTCGTTGGTGTTTGTCAACAATCGTTGAGTAGCGTCGACGAGTTTAGCCGCATATTCGTCTCTCTTATCTTCCGCTTCAGTGACGTTAAGTTTCAATGAGTCACATTCATCCTTCAATTCTGCCAAGTGCCGTGACCTTTCCGCTGTTTCCTCGGACATACTCTCGTTAAGGTCACTGACTGCAAGATGACCTTCCATTTCTCTGTCATCTACCATTTTCAAGTACTCCTCGGCGAGTTATTTTTGACGCTCGTATTCAATCTTCCATTCATCTGCTGCGCTTTCCAAGTCAGCCTTTTGTTGCTCCAGCTCATAGATACGAGCATCCAGAGATCCTATCCGATTTTGATATTCCTGTTTCCTCTTCGTCACCAGGCCTTCCTTGGCTTCGAGTTCTTCTTCCAACTCCTTCACGCGTCTCTTCAGCGTTGACGTGGGACTGTTAGGTGACGGTGGTCGTACGTTGATGACCTTTCCTGTTTGTGTCCGTTCGATGAGGTGCTCCGGTATCTCTTTGAAAGGTGTCATCCCTTCAGCACGGTCAGCTTGTCTCATTGCGGATTGAAAGGACATATTCATCGTTGTTTCATCGTCCGTGAAATACGATTTATTTGATTCGTCTGAGACCATTGGAGTTGCCCAAAGGTCATCGCCTGCGGTCTTATCGTTCAATGAAAGGTCATCCAGTCCCATTTCAACCAGTTCCATTTTGGTGACCTTTGTCTCTTCAACTTCCATTTGAGTCAGGTTCACATTTTAATCCCGCTCGTGCATTCCGCTAACGGTAGCATCCAGCTGTGATGCTCCCACTACTTCCGCTCCTCTTTCTGTGGATTTTTCCTCCCCAGTGACCTTTGTCTGGTTCATCGGGTGACTTCCCGCCGCAGACGCGGGAGTATGCTTCTGGTCGTCACTCGAACTTTCTTAGTTGGCGACCGCCTCGAGCGCCTTCTGATAAGTGCTATCAAAGCCTCGCGAATCTTTCTTCTCGAATGCCTTAGGCGCTCGAGTGTTCCGCTCATGTCCGACTGGACGTGAGTACGTGTGAAAATCCCTTTCGTATGGGTTTGGTGCACCTTGCTGTGAGCTGCGGGAGCTTTTGCTTCCCTGACTGCTGTTAGATGTCGGTTCTTCTTTGTCTTTATCCATGTTGATCGGATAACTTGCACGCTCCTGTCAATTGTTCTCACAAACACGTTATTGTATGGTTCATTCAATTGTCCTAAAGGTCACTTTCGTTCTGTGAAATTTTCTAAGTCGCCTGTTAAAGGTCACTTTTCGGTTGAAAAGTTCCGACTAAGTCCCGTCTAAAGGTCACTTTTTCAACAAAAAGTTCGAGAGATTTGCCCTAAAGGTCACTCTTCAGACAAAACTTCGAAACATTCAATTCAATTTCACTTCGATAAAGGTCACCGTTCGTCGATTTCAGACCTTAAAGGTCATTAAAATAGGTCAATTAAGTCGATTTCAACTTTTTAGTAAAGGTCACTTTCCAAACTCAAAGGTCAACTTCTGATCTTAAAGGTCACTTTCCGCCTCAACTTAACTCAAAAGGTCACTTCCCAACTCATTTCAAGTTAAAAGGTCACTTTCCAGCTCAATTCGAGTTAAAGGTCAATTTCCGGCTCCATTCTTTCAAAGGTCACTTTCTAGCTCAATTTTGATCAAAGGTCACTTTTCCTTTGTCTCAACTCAAAAGGTCACTTTCCGTCTCAATTACCTCATTTCAGATCAAATTTCCCATTACAGCTAAAGTTCAACGGAAAATCCCCATTCAGGTTGTTTACGTCGTTCTGATTGGTCGGCTAGCTCAAAATGTTCAGTTCAACTTTCGACCAATCACAGCTCAGGTAACTGACCAATCACGTTAGACCATTTAAATTTTATATTAGCCTGACGTCACGGTCAACGGCCAGACATGCGTGCCGCGTGCAGAACTCCGCCTACTTTTATGCTCAGCTCAGTACGGACCAATAGAAATTGCCAAATTTACCAACTGGCCAATCCCGTAATTAATAACGGTTTTTCTACCTGTTAACCGTCCGTCCGTTCCACGGGGAGAATGATCCAGATGCTCCAATTCTTCTTCCAACTCCGCTCCCGCGTCGCCGCTGTTCCGTAGCGTGCCTCGCGCTATTAGTCGGTTACTGTGCCGGCTGTGCCGTAGCAACAGTAATGGTGCTCTACTGCCAGTTTGGAGGAGTCTGATCTGGCAAAATCCGTGCGCCCCTTTCGGCGCTTCGTCGCTTGTGACCCACGGCTTAGGATTCGCTGAATCCTTGCCGAGTACCAGTGACACCAGTGTAGGCCTTCGCTGAAGACTCTACACCGAGGAACACTGGCGACTGAACTCTTGTACTCTTGCACAGCTGAGGAAACAGCACGGTTCTTCGCTGAAGATACCGTACCGAAAACCAAAGCTGGAAATCCACGTCCGATGAGGCAGTTTCACCGCTTGTGGTGTGCGCTTTGCTGTCACACAGACCTGTGCCTTACTGGTCACGGATAACACGTCAATAACAGGCCAGATATGCCTGACACCAATCAAATCAAATCAGAGAACCGCTGTCGGCTCTGCTACCATCTAATGCTAGATCCAGAATGGATCCAGGGACAGAGACAGAAACAGAATCTATCCTGCGGAAGTGAGCAATACGATCTGGATTGCGAACTATGCGAAATCACAAAACGTCGCACCGTAAATTGCTGACTTTTTAATATTGAAAAGTCTGGAGAACAGAAAATCAATACTGATCGGCGCAGCTCGATCGTAAAGCGTAGAGCCAATTCAACAGTGTGCATCACTGTGCAGCACGTGCTATGCCGCGCCCACTAACAAAACGTAAGCCAATCAAAGGCGAGACACAACACAGACACGTAATCCAGTGGCGTAACGTTGCGGACGTGAACGCTAGTGAACCCCCGCTCACACCCCCATCGGCGCCTTTTTCAGCCGTTTCTCGGTTTCCCTCGGATTGCGCCCTGATTAGAGTAAGAAGAAAACGGATGTCACCATAAAACAGATTTAAAAGGCCTGTCGCGGATGCCCATTATTCTGGCTAGGGCAGATACGGAAATGTACTCGGCATCCGGTCGTGTGACGCGCTCAGTTAAGTGGAAACTGACTGTAAAATTGTGCGAAGGGCCTGATTCACCATGATCAGGTGTACCTGTATTAATGTGTGGCAACTTGTAACAGGTTTTAACGAGGTTTTATACACCGCAGTTTTGATTATACCGGTAACACTGCGCTGCTGTGCACCATGTAGTTAGTGTACAGAGATATGACACACTACAGATATGACACACTACACGGTGTACACCAAAACTAATCAAAGTCTAATTTAAACGTTTGACAGCAACTTTAAATCTGGTATCCTAATACCGGATGCTTGATACTGCGCCCGAAGGCAAATGTGCAACGATTTTTTATACTTAAGTCGTCAGCATTTCTTTGTTAACCAACGCAGTCAGAGACTGAAAAAGTGTTAGTGCTATAAAATACGCCGTAGCTTGCAGGAAAGTTGGTCGGAACTGTTAAATCTTCGTTACTAATTAAACGGTTGCCGGCATTGTGCTTTAATCCGACACCTGAAGGTCTATATTATGCATAATGTCCTTGCCTCTCCCAAGATTTACTGTTATCAACATGGGTTATTACGGCGGTTTCGACCGTTACCACTGGGAGTGTCTGCAAAACAGCAAGTACATGGAAGACCCCGGTTACGTTATTGCCATATCTGAAATTAAAATGACAAAACCGCAACTTGAAAATGCTGTGAAAACCATGGTAGAAAAGTGCCATACGTTTTATCAACCATCTTATCTTGGAAAAGGACGTCAGCCCCAATATGGACTGCTGCTTTTGGTGGATAAGTGTTTCGAAGTGAGAGATGATTTTCACGCCGGTCAGGAAACATTAAACAGCAAAGAGGAAGAGCAAGAAAATACCGAAGAGCTTGCTGCCGAAGCCGAAAAGGAAGTAAAGGAAAAGGGAGAGGAGGAGCCAGCCGAAGAGGAAGTGGAGGATAAGGTAAAAAGCAGGTTACTTTTCCAGTACATAACGCTCGTTGTGGAAGCAGAAAAGCCTTGGGCGTGCTTATTTTCCTACCGGAAATCGGACTACACCACTTACCGAGTTACCAGATTCGCCGACTTTTTAAAGAAATTTTGTAATGATTACAACAAGGACAATTGCAATTTAGCGATTTTTGGGGATTTCAACATCCTCCGCAAAATAACATCAGACGTAAAAAACTGGGGCTGCTTTGAGTATAACAACAAGCAGTACGGCGGAAAGGTGGCCAGATTAATACACAAGGCTGTTAAAGGGGCGGGTGTGGAGGACACCATTTTTACACCCACTAAAGTCGGCGCAAGAGACGCACCAGACTACTTTGGTATGAGGCATCATGACAAATATTTTGATGCACGATTGGAGGAGTTGAAATTTGAAGGGTACCATGGTCCCGT